TACGTATTGCCATTAGTTTCACAGTTTTTAGATTTTCACACCCTTATAAGAAATAAGACCGGTAACAGGTATTGTCCAATTTGACTCTTTACATATCGTCATCAGCCTCATGGTTCTTATATTTCCACACCTTTATATGGAATAGGATCGATGTGGGATCTCACAATACACCTCCCTTGGAGCCCAACGTTCTGGTTGGCACATCATCTAGTGTCTGGTTCTGATACCATTTGTAACAACCTAAGCCCACCGCTAGTAGATATTGTCAGTTTTGACACGTTACATATCACCGTCAACCTCACGGTTTTGAAATTTCCACACTCTTATAAGAAATGTTTCATTTCCCTCTCCAACCGACGTGGAATCTCACACATTAAAACTAATATGATGATATGTTACATGTGTATGCATAGCATCTTCTATCTTAGTCTCTATAAAACTGAACAAGTTTTATTCAACCCTCAACTCGTTTTTTCTCGCTCCGAGTCCAAGTCCTAATCATCAAACTTTCCACAATGAAGAGGATAATATGTCATTAAAGGCACTTGAAGTTGAGGGTAGACCTTAGGACCCTTGCAAATTGAATCTCTAATAATTTCTAAAGTCTTTGGAGGTGACAACAAGAATCTAGACCAAATAATAGGAGAGCTATGCCCTCAAAAAGCATAGGGAATCAAAGAAATTTTTTTTTAAATTGGCTCGTTAATTATTCCGATCTAAAGATTAGACATGTTCGTAGGCTGAGTTAGATTGGACTATGACATTTTTTTCGATTGATCCAATTGTTCGGGTGGTAAATTTTTTAAACTTAAATAACTCTTACTAAATAATGAGCTCAACTCAACTCAACGATAAAAATTTTGGGTTGGGTAGTTTGAGTTGCTCCGATTATAGTATCGTGCTTCAAAGATTTGATTGACATAGTTTTAAAAATTATAACTATTTGAAGGATGTCATTGTTTAGAAACCGAGTAGCTCGTTGTTCCAGTGGTTTTGAGAAAGAGATCTATATGAAACAACCACAAAGTAAGAAATTGGATGGAGGGTAAGAGTGTTCGTCGGTTGGGTTCGATCGGGTCAGACATTTTTCAGATTCAATCTAATTATTCCCATTTAAATTTTTTCAACTCAAACAACTTTTATTAAATAATGAACTCAACTCAAACCAGATGAAGATTTTTTACGGCAATAATTCCATATTGGCTCGAAGAAAATCATGTATTTACAAATAAGAACGGTATCTTAAACTTAATTTCAATATATATTTTAAAATTTACCCTCTAAATAATAAAATAAAATAAATACTAAGGTGAAAATTAAAATAATTTTTCATTAAATATTTTAAAAGTGGATAAATGAAAAGGAAAAAATTTAAAAGTTAATATAAATTTTAATTTAAAAAAAAAAAAGAAATAATTCTCAAGCTAGATAGTGGAAGCAATAAAAGTAATAAATAAATAATTCAAAATAATATATGTTTTGTCTTTACATGGAAAGCTTCATCTCCACTTTGGTGAATAATGGCCCAAAATAATAATATTAAATCACCAACTTTTTATTTGATTGGGATTTTCAATAATAATAATAATAATACTTTTTACAAAAAATTAAATTAAATTAAATTAAATTAAATTGTAGAAAGGTAGAAGGAATACTTTTAATTCATCATCAATATCCTTTCATTCTTGTTGGATATTGGAAATATAAGAAATTAAATAAATTTCAGTCATTCATTTCCCGGCAATACGTGAGTTAAGGCTATTCGTTCTTGCGTCGCCTACGGCTAAGCTACGTATATTCGAGCCTCTAGTCCCGGTTCAAGAAGAAAGTTTTAGAAAACGGGGCAGAAAGATTTCGAAAGAGAATTTTGAAAGCAAAATTTGAGAAATTGAAATTTGTGTTATATTGGAATGTAAGCAAAAGGTAGCCATAACGGCATACTGCATATAATAATTATCGGTAGGGAGAAAGCTCATTAATTTTGTTTTCTTCTTATTTTAAATATCAAATCTTTTAATCCAATTCTAATCAAGTTGAAAAGCTCTTAATTATTATTATTATTATTATTATTATTATTTTTAACAAAAGGCCAATTTCAAAATAAAATATTTAAGAATAAAACGTTAATGGTGGATGGAACTCAATTGGATTGAGCTGGTTTAAGGAAACCAATCTAAAAATTCGAGTCGGTTGGATTGATAACGTGAATGGCTTGATACCAATCCAATCGAATCACATACTTTTGTTGAATTGTTTTAAGATTTTTTTTTTTTTTTGTACCGATCTAAAATCTTGAGTTGGTTGAATTAATAACCTAAATAACCTGTATTTTTTAGTGGTTGAGTGGTTCATTTTTTTAATTATTTAAAAAAATCTACTTATTCACTAATATGTTACGTCAATAACTAAAATTTTATAAAATTCAAATATTTAACGTTCACAAATTTCAGTGTATTACTAACATTTGTTACCGGTGTCAAATATTTTTTATTTTCATAACAATCTTAAAAGTACGACATGGTTAGATTAGGTTCTGAACTTTATTTTGTTGGTTTGTCGGGTCTTTCTCTAACTAGGTTGGATAGTCCAGGTTGTTTAGATTAATTAACAGGTTATATGAACATCTCGGAGCACATTTACATTTTTTTTCATATTATCGTTGAGAAATGTCATTATGAAATTTAACCGTATGATCTTAAAATTTTAATAATACACTAAATTGAGATTTTAAATCATATTATTTTACAAATATTTTATAAAATTTCGATTAAGATAAATAAAATAAGTTATCCTATTTTTCAAATTTAAATAAAAAAAATTTTCATCCATTTTAAAATCTTCATTTAAAATTTATTTTCCAAGCTAAAAGCTATTTAGAACACTTTCATATAATATATATTTTAAAATTAAAATTATAGGATAAAAATTATCAACAAAATTATTAAAATTATAGGATAAAAATAAAAATATTTTGGTTGATAATATGAAAATTTTAAGACAAAAGAACAAAGAAAGTCTCGTAAATTAAGAAATTAAAAAAATATATCTCGAGAGAAGGGAGGTAGGGGTAAGACGAGGGGAAGAGAAAAATTGTGAGCTCATAACGAAAGGTTTTAGTTTGAGTTATAAGTTGTGAGACATACTTTTCGAACCGAGCGACGTTATGATTTAGACTCATTCGTGGCCTATTTTAAAGAGAACTCAAGCCTCATTTTACTTTTTCGTCTGTCTTTGATGCTTCATGATGCCATCATGAGCCCTGTAAATGCAACAACCTTTGTTCCTCGCTCGAACATGCTTACCAAGAACCAACTCATAAACTGTCTCATATAATCAGGACATCTCGAACATCCATCCATCCAAGTAATATCGAGGTATAAACCTTCTCATGTCTCGAGTCATTTTTGCATACCATGCTCAGTTAATAAATCTACTCCACCCAACTTCACACACAAAACACCTCTTAAAGAAGAAGTTTACATACGTCTTTACCTTATCTCGACTTCGCATAATTTAACGAACATGACGAGTGATTTGACAATTTGATCCACCTATTAAAAACAAGTACTAATCAATGAAACATTGACTATTTGGTATTCCATATCTTCCCTCCAAGAAAAAACTTCCCTGAGGGGTCCATATGAGGAATAATCTTGACAAATTTTACAAAAGATCCATCAGATCATGTTGCAAATTATTCAATACTGTAACTATCTAAAGAATCTCTCACTACAAACACAAATATAAACAAATCTCGTGAATGAACAGCATTCAATCCCTCTCAAATCCTCTACATCTTTTTCATAAATGTCGAAAATACAAACGAAAACCATCCTGGATCGACTCGACAGTCAAAACGAGTCAAAACGAGGAAGACGTAAATCAAAATGCGCATCAAAATCATAAGATCATGACGGCCACTGACTTGATAAGAACATAGTTTTAGATATCTGATGACGAACGTAAGAGGGTTGAATTAGAGTCTCAATCAGCAGATTACAGGCACTTAATGAAAGTTCAGTTGAATCTAACAGCACAACATTTCCCAACTCATCCATTTTGGGTCTTAAAGAACATGAAAGAAGTGTACAATAATATTTATGCCTGGCTACATATAGGATGGTTCAAACTAGTGGGCCACCTAAGAAGACCACAACCAACAAACTTTAAGCCAAATTCTCTGCCCACCCAAAAGCAATTTTAAACGAAGAAAAGTGCATGCTTAAAATGTAAGGCATAAAACAAGGATATGTCACACTCATGAATCGATGGACCTATTATCATATAAAGCACATAAAATAAGGCACCAGTTCAAGACAAAGCAAGTTTGCCTTACAGCTTTCAACTTTGAATTGAAATTGATCCTTTTCAAAAATCAAACAAAGTCAGGACTTCAAATCAATAAGCAAATTATCGCCCTCATCCAGAAAAGAATAGCTGCAGAACTTTAAATCGATTCAAACTGTTATAGCATAATTCCAGACTTTGCATAGAAATCTAAAAACTATTTACCAGAGAGCAAAAGTCATGAATTCAAAAGGCATATAAATACTCTGTTCAGTCATGATATCAGAATATAAAAGAAGGAAGAAAAAAGCTACTTCAGTGTCCCAAATATCATGAGCAATGAGTATCCCAAATGAAATCTATCTGCCCCCGTAGCGATTAACGAAAGTAATGAAGGATAGAAAGGATTTTGTAATGGAAGGTTAGAATTTTAGTGTGGCGGGTGTATACGGAAGGGCGTGGGAGCGGGAGGGAAACAGATATCGTGTCATGGCCAAAAGAATTTTTTACTACCAATAAAAGAATTATCATGTAGGAGAGTGATATAAAAGTTGATGGTACGCAGATCATGTAGGGAGGGATACAGATATAGTTGTTAGTAAGGAGAAAAGCTGCCCTCTTGGATCGGCCTTGCTGGTTGTTCTTGAGCTTTTAGCTCATAATTCCTTTTGATCTAATTAGAGTGGAATATGATAGCTATTAGAGAGCAGCACTGGAAAACTAATTTTCTTCATTAAGTGATCTTCAGATTCCAAAGACACATTCACATACATAAAGTACAATGATAGGAACAAGTGGACATGAAATTGATGGTACTACCTACCGCTTCATACACTCTCCTTTTGGTTTGATACCTTCAAATCTTGCTTCTCCTCATCATCTATCGATGCAGGCTTTTCTACTGCGGTCTCTCCGATTGACTCGGGCTCTTTCTTCAGCTCGGACTCGAACTCCTTAGCTGCCTGCAATGATATTAGAAACATAAGTCCTACTAGGAAATTAAAAAGCAGGTAACTTTGTTTAGCTGATTCTTTAACAAATTGAGCAATTGAAGTTTTCCTCGAGCTTGAAAATCAATAAGAAAGATTGAAAACATGTTTCATAAACGATCTTGAAGCTACTTTATCCTTGATTCACTTGAACTATTAGAACTAACCAATTAGGTTTACGACGAAACCTAGAAATCAATCATTGATCCAATTTGAATACCTCCACATAATAGACCTCAACAGAAAGCTAGAGTTAACGGCAGCAAGTGATTGACTTCAATAATTCCTCATATAAAATTATTGACTCTAGAGATATAGTAATATGGAGAAGACTAAATTGTTTCAAGCACCGACAGAACCAGAAACGTCCCTTGTTTCAAAGAGAGGAGGACGGGTTATTCACATTTCATTTGATGATCAGAGGTAAATTGAAAACTAAGCAACGGTAAATTCTATGGATTCCCGAGGGGAAAAGTAGAGATGTCTCCTACGTTACCCATATTATGTTCTAACTCACTAACAAATGCTTAAAAGTGTATTTGGAAATGGTTTTAAAAAAGTACAATTAGCAAAAGTAAAGTAAAATTGGTTATGCATTCTTAAAAGTACTTTTGAAGGACTTCCCAATCAAGCACATAGACCATAACGCTCTACAACAAAGTATTTCAAGGCACTTTCCAATTTTTCAAAAAGCATTTTATATTACTCTCCTACATGATTTCTTTTAAACATTTCGAGTCAAAAGTTCTTTTGTCCATGTCAAAAGTGCATTTGACACTTCCAAATATAGCCAAGGTTAATGAAATTAGCAAGAACCTAACTAGTGAACCCTGTGGGAACTCATAACAACAGAAAACTTAAAATGTTGGTTCATATGGTACGTAGCACACAAACTACAAGGCCTGAATATTCAATTTGTCCAAGATATGAAGTTCCCTTTCATAACTCTAAAATAATAAAGGTATTACAAAAACGTCATCTTTGTAATCATAATATATCGATAACATATACACTACTAAGTTTAGAAAGAAATGAAAATTCCTTGGGAAATATAAAACTTCAGAGCAATTGATAATGTTACAAAAAGAGAAAGAAAGAAAGAAAGAAAGCTAGACTTCAATTCAGATAATCATAATTGGCATAATTCTAGTTTGTTTTGTCTCTGAGATGGGGGCTCCAATGTACTTTGGGTAAATGATGCCATGATTCCGGCTATTCGTTATTTAGGGATAAACAATTTGATAAGAAAGAATGTTATGCTCAAACGTAAATGGCTCCGAAGGTTGGCCTAAGAGCAATAGGGGTCTAATCCAAAATTTGAAAAAATAAGACAACAACGAAACTGAATTAACAAACTCGATTGGTTAGTGTAAACATGTGTGATTGACACAACTTCCGAATCTTCGGTTTCAATGTCATTTTTTTAATTCTTTAAAATGGTCTCTCAAGCATCGATTTTGGCGAAAAATAACTTGAAATGACCAACTTCCATCCTATAGAGCAGCATTTTTTGGCATTTGAGTTGGGGTTAATTGGTGGGCTAAGAAGCACAGACATAGATACACGACATTGGATACTATACGACATGGAAATATCATTACATCGATTTTCAAAAAAGTAGGACACGACATGTTAATTTCCCCCCCTTAAATATGCATATATTTCGACAAATTATGAATATTTGACACCTTTATTGTAAATTTCTACCTTTAAACATAAAAAGAACATCCAATACAATTCATTAAATAGATGAATAAGATAACAATTAACAAACAACATCAGAAATATCCAATAGTCTTACACAAACCTCATGAAGTGGTTAGAATGGATTTTGAAAGTTTCTTGGTGGTAAGTCACCTGTTTGTGCATATTTCTTGGAAGGATATCAAAACTTCAGCAGAAGCTTACTTTAAAATTTAAGTGCAGATCAATTCCTTAATAACTGATAAAGCACTGATTTATGTGTGTTGGGAAAATGGCAATTGGTTGGTGATTTACATCTGAAGATTGAGAACTGGTTTCATACAAGCATAGTCATCAAAAGTTAATTGAAGGATATGGGGGATGGATTTCGATTAAAAACTAACTGTTGAAGTACCGAAAAAAGCACTTTTGAGGCATTTGATTATTACTTCGATGGTTGAATTAGTAACTGCTAAGATACTCTTAACTTCATTGATGTTCGACCGCTCACATTCAAGCTAAGAGTAACTGCTAAGATACTCTTAAATTTTTCCGGCAACCTTTGTGGTTCAACGTTATTACAACAAACGTCGCAACGTTTCCTTTAAGCTTGGAGATATAGTTTCCTTGGATCCTCTGGGAATTGTTTATGGTGACTTACGCTTGAATAATTTCTCAAATTCAGTGATTTACCTCTTCTTCACCAAGTAATGGAAGATGGAGTGTTGGGAGGATGAAGTTCAACTAAATACAGTAGTTGATGATTCAAATTCAAATTCAAATTTAAATTCGATGGTTTTGACCCATAATCTATTACTTGATGCTCAGCTTTGGCAGAATGAAATTCCTCAATTTGTGCCTATTCATTTCTTGTCTTACTTAGACGAGAAACCTTCCCCATTTAATTTTCCTCCTCTTTTTCTCCTCCTTTCCTGAAGAACTGGTGTTAGTAGAAGATGATCCTCCATGATTGAGTCATGGCTCTATTAATATAACAATGGTGGTAAGGACTCCACTTTCATTTCTATTTTTAGTTATTTCCTTTGTTCTAGGAGGATGATCCTCCATGATTGAGTCATGGTTCCATTGATGTAGCAATGATTATTATACAACTTGTACAAATAGTCATAAACATCAATGAAGATGGTACCTAAAATTTCCAATTTCGTCTTGAGTACTTTAACTCAAAGGTTTAAGGTTCCCTCTATTTGAGCCTTACAATTACTCAAAATAAGTCAAAGAAGAATTCTACTTCTTCCCCCACACAAACACCGTCTACCTCCACTTACGAGAGATCCATAACTCGATCCCAGACGAGCCCTTAACAGTGTTGTTGTGGGAGAGAGTAGGGATTAGCCAATATTTGAGAAATTTTCTTAATCTAAAACAAGGGAATAACCAAAAAATCAAAATGAAGGTGGAAGACAATTCAACTAATGGGTTCCATACATGACTGCTTCTTTTTGCCATGAGTGTAACGCGTGCACACTTGTAGTGGCATTATATCAAACAACCTTCCTGACTTTCAGCAGCAACTACCCCCGAAGATTGGAGAAAAGATAGGGTGAACGTTATGCATTGTTTCTCCTTTTCATAGCACGGCATGAGAAATAGAATACGCACATTATTCTCCAATGGTTTGAGACCTCCTTCATCCACCTATTAATGAATAAACCTCCATAAACAAGGTAACACTTTTACTCACCTACAAAGTAACATCTCTGCTGGCTAATAATTTTTTTTTTTTTTTTTTCATTCCAATCTTCGAAGTTCATAGCAAAGTCACCTATAGTCACCATCCAACGTAGACGCACAAATCTCTAGCCAATTCTGCAGCAAGACATCTCAATATCTCCCCATTTCTACATGGATAGGATCCAACATGAAATCCTCCTTAATCGTCTTCTTCAATGTATCAAGAATATCATACCAACAATCATTAGTCCAATTGGAAATGTTTATTGTAAATGCTTCGCATCAAGGCTCTTCTCCTCTGTTTTTGTAAATTTCCTTCATGAATGAAATTGCTTCTTTAAGAAAACAAATCATGGAAACACGACCCAGTAAAAATAATGTTTCTCCGGTTTACTGGTCGAATCTCTGATTCCCACCCGTTAAAGATTCTGTTTGTTTACTATCTCGTTGAATCTTTATTTCCCACTCCTTTGTTTTATAGATTCTAATTGTCATGCTTCACCCTTTATTTCCCACATACCGCTTTGATAATATAATCCCAAAACTCATTTGCTTTCCGCTTAAAAGGATGGGGTTGGCAAAGGTTCCGTGTGATAGACACTAAAAGACCCTCCACCAGATTGAACACTTCAACACAAGAACATCAAGGCTTCTGACTAAAGGAACAATGAAAGAACAGGTGGGTATGGTCTTCCAACTTTTTGGCACAAAATACACAAATTATGAGAGAAGCACACTGGGTAGGTCGTAAGACAGCTTACGACCAGGCCATTGAGATTTCCAAGAACTTTTCTTCTTTTCTTATTCAACATACTAAAGGTCCTCTCAAGAAAGAGTGTGGAGTTCCCACCTATTTAAGTCCATTTTTATTATGATAGCTGAGCCAGAACAACAGATTCGTAGACAGTTACAGAAGTATTATTTGATTCATTTTAAATGTTCGGAATGACTTTGTTGTGCCGTAATGCCACAACCTTCAATGCTATGATACCACTTGTTGTACCCAAACGCCACAACCAAAATGTTTTGATACCCATTTGTTGTAGCGTAAGCGAAAGCAAGATTGGTCGCACTCACACTCACAAACAGAAAATTAAACAAAGAGACACAAAGATTTACGTGGATTGGAGAGAATAAATTCTCCTACATCCACGGGTGGTAGTCAATCACACTATAACCAAAGTGTTTACAAGTGTATCTCTCACCCTCTCACACTACAACAAAGTCTTTCAACAAAGTTTCTCCCAATTGCCTCTAGGCAAATACAAAATAACAATGTGTAACAGCCCAGATCCACCGCTAGCAGATTTTGTCCTCTTTGAGTTCTCCCTTTCAGGCTTCCCCTCAAAGCTTTAAAACGCGTCTGCTAGGGGAAGGTTTCCACACCCTTATAAAGGGTGTTTTGTTTTCCTCTCCAACCAATGTGGGACATCACAATCCACCCCTCTTCAGGGCCCAGCATCCTCACTGGCACTCGTTTCTTTCTTCAATCGATGTGGGACCGCCACCAAATCCACCCCTTTTGGGGCCAGCGTCCTTACTGGCACACCACCTCGTGTCTACCCCCTTTGGGGAACAGCCTCCTCGCTAGCAAATAGTTTGGGCTTCCCCTCAAGGTTTTAAAACGTGTCTACTAAGGGAAGGTTACACCCTTATAAAGTGTTTTGTTCTCCTCTCCAACCAATGTGGGACATCAAACAATGACTCCACACCTCAAAGCAATGCTAAACAAGCCTTTATCTAGGTATAGCAATACTAATTCTCATACATGAACCAAATAAATGACAAAATGAGCTAAAAGGGTTATGAACTAAATGAGAGGTATGACAATACATCTTCGTGACAACTTACAACAGATTTTGATAGGACTGTTTTTAAGTGAAGCATTTCTATTTACATCCAGAAAAAGGCACGAAACCAAGGCTTCATCTAATTCCAAACTATTGTTGTTCAAGTCCCATGAAAAAGTAGATAAGCTTTCTAGTTAGCTAAAAAGTACTTTGCATCAATTCAATCTCATTTCAAATTCAGTAAAAATCTTCCCTAATCCGAATATACGAAACAACAATCATCAAATACTCAATTTCCAAACATCTACACCACATACTATCCAAATCCAGTGGAAAAAAAGATCTTCCCCGTATCAAATCCCTAACAATTAACAATCTCCGAGCAACCAAACTGACACAATTGATTAAAACCACACATAAACATACCTGTTGGAAGCTCTTGACCGTTTTTCCAATACTCTTCCCGACTTCAGGCAACTTCTTGGGGCCAAAAACCAGAGCGGCGACGCCGGCAATTACAACAAGCTCAGGCACTCCAAGTCCAAACAGAGCGTTACAAGTGAGACCCTTATGAGCTCTATCCATCGTCTTTCTGGACCTGGTGGTTCGCAATAGCAGAGAATGGCTATGGTCGCCTTTGTTGAAGGAATTGGCGGTGGCATTGTTGGCGAAGAAGGAGGATTTGGAGGAGGAAAACGGAGGGGAAAACGATGGAAGCCTGGGAATGGAAGATGTGAAGGATAAAGTTGCAGATGAGATTACCATGGCCGCCGTTGTTGAGGGAAAAATCTTGATTTTGGGAATTGGAAAGTTTATCGGTTTGATGATTACGATTGTGATTTTAGTTCATTTATTTGGATTTTTTTTTCTTCTTTTTCTTGCAATTTTCACATGTGGGATTGGTTTGGTGCCAGTACAAAATTTTATGGAGTTTTTTTTTCATAAGATATTATTACGGGACATCACAATCCTGCTTAATCCTGCTTAGAACGGTGGTTTGTTGTCGTCCCCTTATGGTGGTTTGTTCTCCTCTGAGCACGGTGGTTTGTTGTCCTCCCCTTATGGTGGTTTGTTCTCCTCTCAACCAATCAATGTGGGACATCACAATCCACCCCCCTTCGAGGCCAGCGTCTTTATCCGAAAGATTTTCACGCCCTTATAAATGCCCCCCTTCGAGGCCCAGCATCCTTACCCGAAAGGTTTTCACACCCTTATAAATGGTGGTTTGTTCTCCTCCCAACCAATGTAGGAATAGCGAGAAGAATGACACATTGTTCGGTGTCTGGCTCTGATACCATTTGTAACGACCCAGGCCCACCGCAAGCAGAGATTGTTCTCTTTGAGTTTTCTCTTTCGGACTTCCCCTCAAGGCTTTAAAACTCGTTTGCTAGGGAAAAGTTTCCACGTCCTTATAAACAGTGATTTGTTCTCCTCCCCAACCAATATAGGACATCACAGACTTTAAGTGGATTCAAGGACAACACGCTAGTTCGAACTAGAAATGTTCATGGGTTAGGTCGAGTTGAAATGTTTTTTAAATCGATCTCAATTGTTCGATTTGTAAAATTTTCAACCCAAACAATCTTTGTTAAATAACGAACTCAATCCAATTCGAACATAATTCTTTTTGGGATAGGTTCATTTAAGTTGTTCCAGTCATTTATCCAAATTTTTATTTTAATGAAAGTAAATTAGGAGCTTTTTATTATTTAAAATATTTAACTAAATTTTTTTTGCTAACTATTTTGAACATATATTTTTTTTAAAAAAATTAAATAGTCAAAAAATAATTTTGAAATGGGCGAGGAGAATGAATAATAAAAAATAAATCTAAAATTAATTAAATAAATAAATGTATATATAATGGTAAAAAATATAATATTTTTAAATTTATTCCGCTCCATTAATTTTAGGGTAACCTATGAACCGACCCATTCATAAAATTTTCATTTATTATGAATTAACAAAAATTAAGTTGATAATGCTCTTAAATTTACACCTCATCATGCATTTGATAATTATTGTATATTGATTCAGATAAGCATTGACCAGCGTTTGTGTGTCATATACTTCTAATATCTACCATCATTTTAAGCTACAAGTCATATATTCCATTCGCAAATTTTTTAACGTCGAGTAAACGTTTAAATTGTTCCATCGCATCATATTAAGACGAGTTTTCAAAAGAGATCGAAAATATACGCTAAATTTGTTTATGTAATTATTAGATATCTTGAACCCTAAACGAGTAGCGTGTTAATTAGTGCACAATTTCCTAATTGTCGTCATAATTTAGCATTAATGAAGGCTAAGTAAGTGATTTAAGTCGTACGAAGGCTAGTTAGGTGCCTAAAGTGGGCCTCATCTAGCAGCTCCAAAGTTCAAAGGAGTTGGTTTACTTTCCTTCGTAATTAAATTTTTAATTATATCACTATGTATGAATGAGAATGGTTGGGAGTGAGTCCCACATCGGCTAATTTAGGAAATGATCATGGGTTTATAATCAAGGAATACTATCTTTTCATTAATACGAGGTTTTATAGAGAAGCCCAAAACAAAGCTCTGAGAGCTTATGCTCGAAATGGACAATATCATATCATTGTGGAGAGTTGTGATTCTTAACATGTGCTACAAATTATTTTTGGTAATTACGTGCTTTTCATATCATTATGTTTTCGGTTTGGGTGTTCTTGAAACTCGGGCTTGTGTTCATGCATATATAGAGAACATAATTGAGATGGGGACGAAACATTTCTTACAAGGGTGTGGAAACCTCTCCCTTGCTAGTAGACACGTTTTAAAACTGTGAAACTAATGGCGAGACGTAACGGGCAAAAGCGAACAATATCTACTAGCGGTAGGCTTGGGCTGTTACAAATGATATCAGAGCCAGACATCAGGCAGTGTGTCAACAAGGACACTGAGCCTCGAGGGGGGTGGACACCGTGTGGTGCACCAGCGAGGTCACTTAGCTCCAAAGAGGTGTGAGTTGTGAGATCCCACATCAATTGAAGAGGAGAACAAGTACCAGCGAGAATGTTGGGTTCCAAAGGGAGGTGGATTGTGAGATTCCACATCGGTTGGAGAGAGGAACGAAACATTCTTTATAAGAGTGCAGAAACCTCTCCCTAACAGACGCGTTTTAAAACCATGAAGCTGACGACAATATCCACTAGCGATGAGGTTGGGCTGTTACACCCACATTCGTTAATCAAGGGGAAGATCATGAGTTTATAAGTAAAGGAACACCATCTCCATTAGTACGAGACCATTTGGAAAAACCAAAAGCAAAACCACAAAAGTTTACTCATAGTGGACAATATCATATCTAGGTTTAGTTCGGTTCGAATGACGGTTACTTTGTTAGCCATTCTTCCAAAATGGATATAGAACTCAAACATACAATCAGGTTCATTCAAAGAATATGACAGAATAAGCCTTTCATACACTTAAAACAAGAACAACAAACAACACTGTTATAGCTGATCTCCCTTTCCTGATGGTTCACAGCACCCTGAGCTCCCCCGGATGCGCTTTTGAAGGCGCTCCAAACTTGCCACTCGACGCAAGGAACCTGTTTTCACCATCGTCTTCCCTGACACGGTTGCTGCTTTTGCCACACAATTCAGCTGAGTATCAGCAGAAGATATGTCGGCAGCATGATTGCTAGCTGCATCTCTTGATGTCTTTGAGGGGCTCCCATCAAAGGATTGCATGCTCATTGACAATACTTCCGACGACATGCCATAGAACATCGGTTTCGAACCCGTAATTCGCTTTACGGTTTCCTCAGCCATTTGTACCTGAAAACGTCATGGTTCTCGTCATCGTCGTATCAACACGGAACGAATGAAGAACGAGCTAATACTTTGTACTTACCTTTGCTTTCAAAGTTTCAAGGTCAGCTTTTAGAACTCTGTTATTAACAGCTGATTCATTGTACTTCTGGCTTATATCATTGAAACGCTTCAGCAATGCAGAATTTTCAACTCTTAATTCAGCAACCTATCAACAATGAATCCAATCGAGTTTATAATGGACTTATTAGAATTAGATAGATTTGATATTGTTCGATGTTGACCTGTGTCTCGAGCTCAGTCAAATGTGCTTGCTTTCTCTTTCTTGAACGTCTAGCTGATTCTCTGTTAGAAAGCATTCTGAAGAAAATAACTGTGTTAGTATCTACGATAACGGTTTTTGTTGGAGTTTGATTGGGTTCTTCATGTTGGTAATCGTGAAGACATATAGTGACTTACAACGCTCGTTGAATAAGTGATATTTGGTCAAGTCACTATCAAATAACTCAACTTCCCAACCGAAATTTTAGTATCTCTTTGGATCGAGAGAGACAAATACTTGGTAAGGCTACGACAACTTCAGTATTCCTTTTGGACATGAGAATCGTCGTGGAAGTACGCATTTTAAGGAATTGGGATCTAACTTGGTACGATGAGGATTGACATCTCGAACAAAATGAGTGCAACCAAATATTCATATTACCTAGCACATACATTTTAAATGGTTGTAAGGTAACATCTCAAGCCCACCTTGAGTAGATATTATCCTCTTTGAATTGTTACAAATGGTATTAGAGACATCGAACGGTGTGCCAACGAGGACACTGGCCCCCAAAAGGGTTGGATTGTGAAATCTCACGTCGGTTGGAGAGGAGAACAAAACATTAAGGGTATGAAAACATCTCCCTAGAAAACGCGTTTTAAAACCTTGAGGGGAAGCCATTGAATGGAAAGTCCAAAGAGAATAATATATGCTAGCGTTACGCTTGGACTATTACACTTTTTGTGTATTATCCTTTGATGGATCCAGATCAACATGATTATCCATCTCAAACGAACTGAATGACAACGTGACATGTTTACTAGACAAGTGGACTAATTTGGCACGATTACTTTAGAAGCTAAACAGACACGACCATTAACGACCAAATTTATTACTCTACTAAAATAGAATTATAAAATATAACAAAGTCAAAATGTTATAATATTTACCTCCTGACACGTTTAGCATAAGCAGGATCCTTACGTTCACTCGTACCATCTTCTCCTTCGACGACATCATCTTCTTCATCAGTCGTTTGCTCTATGGATGACGATATAGTTGCCGTGCCACCAAGAATCCCGACCTTTTTTTGCACACAAGGTGAGCTAGTAATTCCTAAAGGTTCATTAATCTTTATAACATGATCATCAAAAATAATATTCTTGTAAGAAAAAAAAAATAGATTAAAAATGTGGTCAAAAATAAAAATTTGTTAAAAATGAGAAATAGAATTGCTATCGAGGGTGCAACAAACATTGGTGGGATCAAAAGTCCCAGTAGGATCTAAAAGTCCCATCAATGTTTGCTGCACTCTCGATCTCAATTCTATTTCTCATTCTTAATGAAATTGCAAACCTTTTAAAGGTTGAGACTGCAAATATGAGGCTAGAAGGGAACTTGCACATGAATCTTGAACTTTCATCATATAAGACCCCTATTTCACATGAATCGAGGAATCACTAAATTTAAAATTTTTAAATTTTTAAACGTTTTATTTTTTATCTTTTAAAAAAATTAAAGGTGTTTTTGAAATTTTTTAAAAAATTTGAAGGTATTAATGAATCAGGTGAAAACTCGAGGGTAGAAAAAAAATTATAATATTGAATAACTCGAACAAGATTATAAAAAATTAGAAAATTATCTAGAAAAACATATATTTTAAATGGATTAAGCACATGAAAATATATTTTAAAATATTATTGAAATAAAAATTACAAATAATGAAAAGGTAAAAATGGTAAAAATGGAAAAACTAATCATGATTTTTAACCAAAGGAGTAAAAA